GATTGATAGTGCTCTAATTTAGTCCCCCGACAATTAAAAATTTATCGCAATTGGTCCCTAAGGTCGAAATTCACAAGAAAGGCAGTTAAAGTTAATGTTAAAGGTTAATGTTAAGGGTCTTTTAGGTATTGCAAGTGTTTTATATTGATTTCTTTACTGAGTAACTGTGATGAAATATAATACGTGAAAAGAAATATATATTGGTACTGACATAAAGATGCATAGAACTGCAGATCATGAAAAAAGTGGAGCTTGTTCAGCTGAAGAGGACCAATTTGAAGTCAGTTTAGGAGAAACCGTTCTTGAGGGGGAGCAAGCAGCAGAGGACAGAGAGCTGAAGCACCAGCTTCTCAAAAAGTATAGTGGTTATCTAGGCAGCCTTAGACAAGAGCTCTCCAAGAAGAAGAAGAAAGGCAAGTTGCCAAAGGAAGCTAGGCAGAAACTTCTCAGCTGGTGGGAGCTGCACAACAAGTGGCCTTATCCATCAGTACTGCATTCCAGTTCCTTGTTTATTTCCCTTAATAATGCAAGATGATGTTTGATTTTCATTTGGGATGGCTTTCTTACCACTTCATAAAACAGCTTTTCAATATAAAAGTTTTAATTTTTGTACTAAAAAGCTGCTTTAAGAAGCGGTAAGAAAGCCGTCCCAAATGAAGCCTTGGCCTTTACAATAATGTGGTTGCTCGACATTGCAGGAATCAGAGAAGGTGGCATTGGCGGAATCGACGGGGCTCGACCAAAAGCAGATCAACAACTGGTTTATAAACCAAAGGAAACGGCACTGGAAGCCATCAGAGGAGATGCAGTTCATGGTATTGGATGGCTACCAGCAGCATCAACAGCAAAATACTACTTTCTATTTGGAGGGGCATTTCATGGGGGATGGAAATCTGTACCGCATTGGTTCATGACAAATTATGCATGGGTTGAAGCTTCTGAATTCATCTTCTCGTGTTTATTCTCTCACAATGTGGCTTTAATGATTATTATTGTTATTTAAAATAAAAGTTAGTATGTTCTGTATTCTAAAATGGCAGTTTGACGAATCAGTGAATTGTTAAATTCATGAAATAGATGGATTAATTAGCATTTTCTTTGATAGAACTTCGAGCAATTTTATCCTAATTATCCGTAGTTAATATTACTTTCAAATTGCCAATATGTTTATGTAATATATTACAAAATCTTTGAGTTTAACTGTTTGAATCTTTACAAGGAAATAATGCTCAGTGCCCACAAAGAACTAAAGCTGGTAAATGACTGCATTGGGACAACAGAGAAAAAACACTATATGCATCGTAATATTCATTTCCTGTACGTATAAACTCTGTAAGCATATACATTTCAATGTTGCTGACCTGCTCACTGTAAAAACTACGACTTTATATGTAAAACCAGTGGTGATTCACCCTTCTCAACAACAAATGAATGAGATGATCTTTTCGCTGGAGTAGTTACTTCCAGACTATAACTCCCATGGTACCCTCTGAATTTAAACTCTCCAGAGTCATCAACAAGCCCATCGGCATGGGTTAACCACTCCTGTTTCAGAGCAAGATACCTCTTCCCAGCTTCATTGATGTCACCCTCAGCATCAACCAAGTGAGAATTATCCCTACACATCAGCTCCCAGAATCCCCAAAGCATTATCCCCTCAACGGCCGGATGCGCATAGGCCTCTCGAAGCATGACCTCTAAATCCTCCGCACGGACATGTTCATTTGAAGCGGCGACATCCAGTTCAGTAAACCAAATAGGAAGTCCAAGTATGGCTAGCTTATCCAGCGCAGCACACACGATTTGTCCCACTGGATTGTTAATATGTCCTTGTAGACCGATTCCATCTACTGGTGCACCATGTTCTTGCAAATCAAGGATATGATGAATAAACATCTCTGGAGAAGCCTTTGCATCACAACCATCTTCAACGTTGTAATCATTAACAAAGAGGGTGGCCGACGGATCCAGTTTGCGTGCTTCTTCAAACATGTAGATCCTGATATTTTCCCCAAGTCTATCTTTATAGAATGACCCATGAAGCATTTCATTGTTCACATCATAATGCCTAAATTTACCTTTATATCTAGAGAGAAGGCTTCTGAGACGATTCTGAACAGCTCTCATTAGATCATTTTTGTCTAGACATTTTACCCAATGTTGAACAGCATCTTCGACCTCCCAAAATATGCAATGACCTCTAGTATACATTCCATGTTTCTTGCAGAAATCAAGCATCTCATCAGCATCCCTATAGTTGTATCTTCCCTGTTCAGGTTCTGTATGATACCACTTCAGCTCATTCCCAAAAACAGCCCAGTTGAAATTCTTCACAAAGAAATCAACAAGCTCCTCATTTTCAATGCTCGACCTACTAATACATGATCCGAATGGAAAGCTATTCTGTATTTGCCTAATTTTGACAATTGTCTTAGATGCATTGCCAGCATCAATTACTGGAAATTTTAGGATGATATCGCGTTTCCTTACCTGCAATGGAAAAAAGTATGGCTTAACAAAGTTTAGAATCAAGGTATTATAAAGCCTAACTATAGAAGGATTCTCTCAAAGGGAACATTACTTAACCTCCTATGGTTGATCACAAAATACTTTTTAGCTAAAGAAATGAATCAAATTAGTATTATTTTGGAGGCGATTACTAAAATAATGAATATTGTTACTATTGTTTTGATTGTAGTCACTAAAATAATGAATCCAACTTTCAATGTTTAAATATGAATAAGGGCAGGGCAATTGGAAAAAGATCCATTATTTTAGTAAACACATTCAAAACAACGATAATAAGATCCACAATTTTAGGAACCATATTGAAAACAACAGTAACTTAATTCATAATTTGGACTGAAATATTTTATTATCAGCCATAGAACCTTAAAGCAATTCATCCTTATTTTAAAGACCTTGTCCGTTTTCTGCTTTAGATTGTCAAAACGAGCCTTCCTGTCAACTGGAAATATGTGAAGCCCAGCAACCATCAAATCAACCCCCATTGAAGGACCTTGCACATAGACTATAACTTTGGATGGCTGCTTCTCAAGTCTGAATGAACCCACAATTTCATTCCATCTGTCATCAGTAACTTGAACGTGCCCACCATTGACCCAACGGTCATCCACCCCAACGGCCAAATTAATAATTTGAGGACTTTTTGTACCTGTTCCAACACGAACCCATGCAGCAACCTGGTATGTCACATGTAAGACTAGCTTGTCTGTAATTATCTGGGAAGGGCCCATCCAGGTTTCTGTTCGATTAGTTGTAACAATATAACGACCACTTAGCGGCTCATGATGACCAATTGAATCTTTTGCGGATGGAGGCGGTACACGGGGGCAACCAGTGGATATGCTTAAAGTGCATGAACCAAGAGGACTCCACTTACTCAGGCCTTGATTAAGATTACTGTTCTCAATTATATTGACTCCAAACGGTATATTCTGCAAATAGATGAGCATTTTTCAGACAAGAAGAAAATGGGCAACGTATCCTGACAGAATCTTTGAATATATAGGATTGCTTACCCTATCTAGCTGTTAACAACTTTAAATTGCTAGAAAGAAGGGACAGAATAACATTGCGTGAAGTTTTAACTACTCATAATTTCCATCACTTATGGCCCAAGGTAGAAAATCCTATGCTTAGAATACTATGAGGAGCAAAGTTCAATATAATTTTGAGTGGACAACAATCAAAGATAAAAAATGATGCAATATTAGGCTTCATTTGGGACGGCTTTCTTAATGCTTCTTAAAGCAACTTTTTAGTATCGTCCCAAACGAAGCTTTAGACTGATCATGTCATTGAAATATGATATGTACAGTAGTCTTCTTCAATATTAGTCTAGCAGGAAACTGAAAGGAAGCATACAATTTCAAGATACATATGAAATTTTCTTGGGATGGTGGGAATTGAGGATTTCTATGGGCACATGTTAATCAAAGGTTACATGCAAGCTTTAGGTCTGACAAAACATGTAGGTCCCAAAAACAGGTTACTGGAGGAAATTTTTATTATGCTTTATTGGCAAATAACGAATGACTATGATATAGAGAGTACAAAAGGTTAAAAATTAGATAATATCCTCAATTAGAAAGATATAAGATATTAATAAAATTGTCGACCTCTAAGAAATGTCCAAAATATCAAACAAATAAATATAAGATACCTGTAATCTGCCACAGTCGACTGCCCATCCCTCGTATCCCGCAGAAATCCCGCTACAGTCACCCATATCCTGCAACGGCGCCGAAATGTCGCTTCCTACGCGTGGGATCTCACCTTAAACCCAATCTATTTCGCGTCAATAAAAAGAGGAAGTGCTGAAGCCTTCGGTAAGCCCCCGTCATTTCTCCTCCCACGACACTCGCTACTTCTCCGATCTCTACCCCTGTTCGCTACTTCCTCCATCCCGAGCCAAGCTCACGATCCCGCTTCCCACTCTCACTCCCTCTCTTGCTGCCTGACTTCGCGCACCCGACGACTTTCCCTTCCACATCTGATCGGAAGTTACGACATCCGATCGGAAGCCAAGGAGCCACCGACTGTGAAGTTAACTTTCCCCTACTCGCACGCTTCTCCGGTCGGATCCCCTTTGCAACCTCCTCTACATCCCGATTCCTTTTACCCGTGAGAGAGAGAGAGAGAGAGAGGAAGAGAAGCTCACACCTTGCTCCTCCAAAACCGAACCCGCCTCCTCCTCCCGTGACTCCATCTCCTGTACCGATCCATCCTTGCCGCATTTGCTTCCTACCCGAGCACTCATAGAGCCTTAGGTATATTTTATTATTATTATTTACTAATATTATTAGTTAATAGTTATTAATTAGTATTATTATTGTATATAGTATATTTAGTATACTAATTATTTTTAGTAATTACTGTTATTTTTATTATTACTAATCAAAATTAATTTTATGTTAATTATAGTTAATTAATTTAATAATGATTAATTATAATTAATTGAAATTAATTATAATTAAATATTTAATGATATTTAATTATTCTTAATGATAATCATTTAAAAATTAAATAAATTGATTTTAATTAATTATCCTAATTATGGTTAATTATTATAAGTAATAATTAGCTATAGTTAGGTA